CTATTCTATTCTATTCTATTCTATTCTATTCTATTCTATTCTATTCTGTTCCTATTTCTATTCTATGAATGTTACAGTTCAACTATTTCAATGAATACCTTAGGGATAAATTGTACTTTCCTATCATCAATAATTTCTCATGAAACATGGATTGCCGTTTGGGTTGCTCTCGAACTTGGAATAACAAGGTTGGAAGGGACCTTGGAGGTCTTCTAGTCCAACCCATCCCACGCTGCTCAAGCGGTGAGAACCTCTATACTATCCCGGACAAATGGTTGTCCAAACTCTTCTTGAAAATCCTCTGCCTTCCTGAATATTGAAAAGACTGAGCCATTGAGAAGGACCAGGCATTTGAAGTAAGCCATAAGATGGCTTGTTTCATTGTGGTTTAGGGTGCCATGCAAATCCAGCTATTGTGTTTTGTAAACTATGATTTGTGGCTTTACAATCTGGTGTGAATCTGTTCGACTGTACCTTAGTCTATAAGCAATTGCTAGATAAGTCATACCTTCTACAGTGATAACAGAAAAACAAGAGTTGGAAGGACCTTAGAGATCTAGTCCAACCCATCACATTTAACATTAAGCAGTAATTTCCCCGACTGCTAATCAAGCAAGATTGGATGCAAATATGCTTGAGACATGCAGCTTTAGCAGAACGTATCAATCATTTAATTATGGTTGGCGCAGTGGTTAGAATGCAGTATTGCAGGCCGACTCTGCCCATTGCCAGCAGTTTGATTCTGATCGGCTCAAGGTTGACTCATTTTTACATCCTTTCAAGGTTGGTAAAATGAGGACTCAGATTGTTGGGGGCATTATGCTGACTCAGTAAAGCACTTAGAGAGGGCTGTAAAATGGTATATAAGTCTAAGTGCTATTACTACTCCTTCTCCCCTTCCTTCCTCCCTTCCTTTCTTCCTTCCTCTCTCATTCCCTTTCTCATTCTCCTTCCTGGTGGCCCAGTGGTTAGAATGCAGTACTACAGGCTGACTGTGCCCACTGCCAGCAGTTCGATCCTGAGCAGCTCTAAAGGTTGACTCAGCCTTCCGTCCTTCCGAGGTGGGTAAAATGAGGACCCAGATAGTGGAGGACCATATGCTGACTCTATAAACTGCTTACAGAGGGCTATAAAGCAGTATATAAGTCTAAGTGCTATTTCTATTTATACATGTACATTAAAGCAAAATGGCTTACTTTGAAATCCAGACATTCTTTGATGATGATTTGTCGAAGTTTAGTCATGGACTCAGACTCTTCTGTGGCATTCACAAAGTGATAGTCGTGGATTTTAGGAAATCCCTTCTGATTCATCAGCTCCTGGGTGATTTTACTGATGCAAGCTCTACGCTGCTTCTCATTAGCGACGTCTAAATGAGTTCCAATGAGAATCACAGGGGAGAAGGACGCTCGGGTCTATAAAAGAAGGCATTGCAATGCTCTAGATTAAGGCACTTCTCCAATAACCATCCTGTTATTTGCAGTTGGTTTTATTCCACTCTATTATCATCAATCCTAGTCACCTGAGATTTGTCAAGCAGTTTAGAATTCCCATTAACCACCATGCCATCTTTAAGCAACATGGGAAATGAAATCTTAATTATAGAATAGAATAGAATAGAATAGAGAATGAGACGAGAAGAGAAGACGGAATGGAATGACAATAGAATAGAGTAGAGTAGAGTAGAGTAGAGTAGAGTAGAGTAGAGTAGAGTA